CATTACTGGCAGGGTTTACTCAGTTAAGGTGGTATATACCAGGCTTCAGAAGAAGTTTTCTGGGGTGATACTTGGAAACTGGATCCCTGTTCCTCATCAAACTTTCAATGTATCTATATGTATCTTTGTAGTGTGTCTAGACTCCTAGGGACTCATGGTTCCCTGCTTTACTAGATTATAATTTCTTACTCCCTGCTGTTTATTTTGGTACTTAGATTGACCCATATCACTGGGATGTGACCTTCTGTCATCTTCTCGTCATCCTTCGAGCACATTCTTGCCTCCTGGTGCTACCAGATGTTCCAGGCCAGTCGGCTTCTTTCCTTGTGCCAGGTGTGTTAGTTGACACAGGGATATTGTTTGTCCAGGATTTCATCAGACAAGAGCAGGGAATACATGTATATACCTATGTGTATAACATATGCATACCTGTGCAGCACAGGTACATTATTATGATATGTGTCATAACTTTTCTATTGAAACCTGTAAATTTACACTGGTACCTTCAGTTCTACCTGATGCGACAGGTTTTAGTTTTATTTTCTCATCGACTAGCTCCATCTTCCTATGTAGACCCTGAAATATTTGAAGACTTAAAGGGACCATCCTTGCCCCGTCTCTCCTTTTTGGGGGAATAGTGAAATCTTTCTTAGAAACACAACAAAAATTGTGTTTCATCCCACAAAAGAGATCTCTATTTGTTTCTGAATATTTATTCTCCCATTTTCCCCAGTAATTTTGTTCTGACTTTCATCTGAGATTATCACTGACTGGGTATATTCCCTTAAGCCTGTATTTGGCAAATGACTAAATTCTGGTCAATAAAATACAAGCAGAAACGCTGTGTAGAACTTCTGGGAATTATCTTTAAAAGAGAAGCATTATCTTCCTTTTGTCCCCTCTCTTCCTCTTTGATTTCTAGAATGCAGTCATGATGGTTGAAGCTTTTGTAGTCATCTTGACCACAAGGACAAGGTCTGGTGGAACAAAAAGTAGGAAAGAACTTATGTCCTCATGAATTCAGGAGTCTGCCCTATGAGCTTTGGACTACCCAACTGGGTGAAAGAAGAAAACCTGTGTGTTTAATTTGCTGTTAATTTGAGTGTTCATTAACTCTGGTGAGCCTACTTCTAACCAATACATGTGCCCATTCCCAAATCAACGACTGGCAAGAGGAACTGTTTGTATCTAGCTGGTGCAAATGGGTTTGGGGAAGTCATAGTGACTACCACTTTAAGTACCTGTTTTTTAAATATATTAAATATTTCGATTAAAAATATAGGGGAAGGGTAATAAGGGAAAAGAAAAATATGTGAGATAATGAAAAGATGGAAATAAAGTGTTTGTAGATGGGGAGGGGAGGGGGGGGTGAAGGGAGGGCAGGGGTAAGGGGAAAAAATGAGAATCAATACTTGTCATGTAGAGGTACAAGATCCCAACAATGAATGTAACTGTACTGTATCCCTAAAATGTACCAATACACTCAAAGCTGAAAAAAAATAAATCACTATGGGGAAACAGCCTTCTTAGTATCTACATAAGAAACCACCTCTCTGTAAGTGCTGTTACATCTTTGTTACAAAGCTTACAATAGTTATTTTCTGGGAAGTGCCGAGGAATCTTACGTATGACTAGCTTCAATGGGTTTTTGAACATTTTTATTAATTTCAAGAAAAAATTCCTGGCTGCCTTTTCAAAGGCCAAGTTCCCAAAATGCATTCTTTGATTTTTGGTTGATTCACTTCTATTTAATTTCAACACATGAGTTTAATAAAAATGTTCATTATTCCACTGAATGCAAATTTAAAACCTAATATCTTCAGTCCTTTCCTTGGACACTTTAGGTTTGGCATTTGGATTAGATTTGTTGAAGAGACTATTCACTAACTCTAAAAATCAAATGAGGGTCAGGGATTTAGCTCAGTGGTGCCACTGACTGCATTGCAAATGCAAGGTCCTGAGATTGATCCCTGATATCAAAAGAGGAAATAAAATCAGATTATATTTTCTCACTTCCAGGAACTCATTCTTGGTCAGGAGAATGGAATAGAACTTCTAATTTTAACATCTCTGCTTAAGAAACTATCTTCCATGTACAAATGATTCATTCAACCCACATTCCAATTCCCATCTCTTTCAATTCCAAACACTGAAGGTGAACTTACAAAAAAAACCTAATCTATTTTGGGAGCCAATATCTATGATTTGTCCACATGGTCCCAGGATCCCGACCCAATGAAGGTGACCTTTGAGTAACAGAAACTTTGAGCGGGAAAGTTGCTTAAGAGGCCCCTGAGCTGCCTGCTGATGTTCTCAACATCAACACCAGTAGCAGGAACTTACTACACCTTGGTTGTTAACTAGCTGCCCACTGCACCTTTTTGAGCAGGATTGCAAGATCTTTGTGCCTCCAATTTATTTTATGCTCTGATTTTAAGGGAGATCAGAGTATATTGTTAAAATTCCCAAGAAGCAGAAATATTCCTTTTTCATCTGAAAGCCAGCTCTAGTGTTTATGACTCTATAGGACAGCTATGTAAAGATAGGACAATTCTGTCTTCTGTAGAAATGAAAAACACTCCAACAGCATATTTCTACCAACGCTTCATGAAATTGAAGCCCGTGTATAACTGTGCACTGGTCTCTTCTCTTATTCAGTCACTCATATAGCAGCATCATGACTTTGGCCACATCTTTCTGCTAGGTTGGCTATTATTTCTTACCTTCTTTATGTTTTTAAGTTAAATTTCTTTTGAAGAGAATTTTCATATAAAATCAAAGTTGCTTTGAAAAAACAGAAGTTATCCATAAAAATAAAAAGGGAAATTTAGTGAACTTTTAAAACAGCCAGGTGAGGACATTTCTGTATGACAAAGGCAATAAGATTCATTTGCTAGGAAATATTAGTTGTAGTGTTTCCTGGATTCAGTGGTATCTTAGTTATTTTCTTGTTGCAAAATAGCCAACACCCACAAATTTAAAAAGGAAAGGTTTATTTTAGTTCAACGGTTGTATAGGTTTCAGTCCATAGTTTTAGTACATGTGCTCCAAGGCAGGGCAACAGGGCACAGGGCATCACAGAGCAGAAACAGTTCATGGTGTGGCAGGCAGGAGATAGCAAGCAGTGAGCCTCCCTTTCCCTTCTTATTCCATCCAGGCCACAAGCCTATTGGCTGGTGCCATCCACAACCAGAGTGGCCTTCCTATCATCCACACCTAGAAGCATGCTAAACCAATAAGTAGATTATCTAGTTCTCCAGTACTCATGATCCAGCTACCTCCCCAAAGCCCCATCTACGAGTACATGAGGCTTTGGGGGGACATCTAGATACAATCCATAACATTTCACCCCCCCAAAGGCTCATGTGGATCCCTTTATGAAAAATGCATTTAGTTCATCTCTAAGAGTTGTTAACGTCCTAATAGTTTCAGCATTGCTGAAAAGTCAAAATCAAAATTCTCCTCTGAGGTTTAAGGAAAACTCTTAGCTGTGAGCTCCTGTACAAATAAAAAGAAAGTTAAACACTTCCAACATACAATGAAGCAAAGTATATATCCTCATTCCAAAAGTTATAAATAGAGGAATAGAAAGGAATGGGACTAAAGCCAGACCCCCAAATCCAACAGGACAAACATTAAGTCCCATAGTCCCATGTCTAGCACCCAGGGCAATCTGTGGCAAGATGTGAACTCCAAAGGGCTTGAGTGGCTCTGCCCCTACTGCGCTGCTGGTGGTCAGAGCCCTCACAGCTTCTCTCTTGGGTCAGCTTTGCTCATTCCTTGCAGTTTTCCTCAGACAACACACATTCCTGGTTTCTCTACCCTTCTGGGGTCTCCACTGCACCTCAGCTTCACACTCACAGCTTCAGACACTGCTCTCTCAGGGGTGCACTGCCTGGCCTCTCAGGCCTTCTTCTGAAATCTGGTGGAAACCTTCCTGACCCTACAACTCTTGCATTCTGCATACACCTAAAACCAGCACCATGTGGATGACACCAAAGTCTGTTGCCAGCAGGAGCAGTAGCCAGGCTTCCTTCTCTTTTGGCTGTAGGGTTAAATGCCTGGATTTCTGAGCACTATGAACCTAATCTTGAGGAACAAATTCCTTAGGTTGCTACCATTCTGGAGCATGGTGCTCTGGGGCTGTCTTCTCAAAGCAAAGACCTTTTCAATTTTTAGGCTGCAAAAGGTGGAGTCCTCCTGGTTCTTATGACCCTCAGGCCATTTTTCTATTATCCTCTTCCGAAACACTTGGCTTTTTATCTCTAATACTTTCAGCAATCAAGTTCTTCTCTGATCCATCTTCACAGTACAACTTTACTGAATCTTTCTTTCTGGCTGAACTCAAAATATTTTAAATCATTCTGCTGGGCTCTTTGTTCTTGATTCTCACATTAAAAGTGCCTCGCAAGCACAAGGACCTGAGTTCAATCCCTGGTACCAAAAAAAAAAAAAAAAAAAAAAAAAAAAAAAAAAAACAAAACAAAACAAAAGAAAACAAAAAAACAAAAAACTCCCAACAATAGCCATGCCACTTTCTTAACATTAGCTTAACATTAGAATTTCTTGAAATTTCTTCCATCACATTAATTAGTTTGCTGCACTTAATGTCTGTCTCCTGCAATGTCTCATGACAGGAGCAAAATGCAGACAAATTTTCTGCCAGAGTATAATGCATGTGATCCAGAGTCTACCTATCAACGGAGTCCTTCTTCCCAACTGAAATCTCTGGAGCCTGATCTTTTCTGACTAAATTACAGTCAACATTCTGGCCTTTTGATCTCTGACCAGAATCTCCCATCAAGCTTGGTTTATAGCATTCCAGGGCTGCTTCTCCAGCTGGTGTCTCAAATCTTTCCAAATGCCTCCCACAAACCAGTTTCAAAGGCTTCAGAACCATATGCCCAGGTAACATCACAGCAGTGACTCCACTCTTAGTACCAGAATCTGTCTTAGTTACTTTCTTGTTGCTGGGACAAAATACTTGACACCCACAAGTTAAAGGAGGAAAGGTTTATTTTTCGCTCACAGGTTGTAGGTGTTTTGGTGCACAGCCAATTGGCTTCAGGGGTGGGGTGGGGTAAGATGGCAGAGGGGCCTGGAGAGGAGAAACTGTCTATGGCATGGAAGGCAGGAGGCAGCAAAACAGCAGCAGTGAGCTTCTCTTTACTTTTTCTTCCGCTTGGGTTACCAGCCTATTGGTTGGTGCCCCTCACACCCAGGGTGGGCCTTGCCATTGTCTGCACCCAGAAGCATGCTAAACCAATCAGGGGTCTTAACCAGTCAGCACACCCTTAATCCAGTATCTCATTCCTATGATCCAGCTACTCCTCAAAAGTCCCACCATGTGCACATGAGGCTTTGGGGGAACATTTAGGTATAAACCATAACAAGAGGCTTCCCTTTTATTCATAGCAAATGTTGGTATTAGATTTCTCTTAAATCTCCATGCAAATTACAAGTTGGAGCATTTTCCTGTGTATATGGCAGCGAGTAGCTGAGTTCCACCTAAAATCATCCACTGCTTCCTTTGGAGAAACACATATCTAAGGGAAAAATCCAGACTTTCTTTTATGTTAATTTAGGGTAGTTTTCAAACCACAGGGAGGCTAAGGCATCTGAGGCTCTGGCTAAAATGCTTTGCCCAAGTTCAGACTGGAGAGCAGGAGCCTGTACTGTAAAAAGTACCTTGGGTAAGTGCAGGGTTTTCAGGCCCTAACTTTTAGGGACAGGCGAAAAGGCATTCTTTGTCGATTACTGTAGTCATCATTCTTCTGCGGAGCCTCTGCAGGGGGCCAAGGGGCTGTCCCAAGACTCAAGATTCAATTTTCGTGCAGCAAGGCAGTGCGATTGTCCACTGAGGCGTCCTAGCAACGCCACTCTACAAGGGGAGAGCTGGGAGGTCACTGTGGGCTGCAGCTGTGAGAAGACGGGGAAGTCAGGCTGGGAGGGGAGAGGAAGGAGGATGGAATCAGGAGCTACGGAGCTGGGGCCTGGAATTGGAGGGAGGAAGGGCTGGGTGAAGCAGCGGTTGACCCTGGGGAAGCGAGGTCAGCTCGGTCTTAGGGAGACGAATACCTGGCCTGGGCTTCAGGGAGCTGGATCCGACAGGGTGCACAGTCAGCTTGGCAGGGGTGCGCTATGAGCAGAGAGAGAGCTAAGGAGCGGGCGGTCACCGCTGACTGCTCGCCCAGAAGACAGGCGCCCACCAGGGGAGCAGAGAGCACTTGGGCTTAGGAGTCTCGGGGACTGCATCCCCTAGGCAGCGTGGGGTGCACAGGCACAGGCCGCGCTTGTTCTGAGCTGTTAATCCTCTGGCGTTTCTCTCCAGTCAGGTTCCTTACAGCTGCCTAACACACAATAAAACACAGCCACCCTGAGCTGGGGAGATAAGTCCCGAGGCCGCAGGCGAGCTTGTGCTGAGCTGACGACCTCGCACCTCCGGTCACCCAGCTCTGTCCAGCCACTCGGTTTCCACCCTGGCACCGAGAGCGATCG